AGTGAATAAAGCACAGTAGTTATGTTCATATAACATATTAAGTAGTAAAGCACAGTTACAAACTAAATAATTCAGTTCATACAACTCTAAGCTATAGGCATCTTATGCACTGTCAAAATTAGCCAGATCAAATTAATTTTTCTGCATTGAGTGAATCTAGCTGTTATATTTTATGATGTAGCATATCACCCATATCCCCTGACGGGTGAAAATCTACATATGCTATTACCTTTATAACAAGGGTGTCTGACTTCCGGTGGATCTGCGCGCGCGATGGCGGCTACTTTGTAGCCGTCCTCCTGGGTGTTTGAATCACTATGAACAGCGGCCATCAGCTGTTCAGCGGTTCAAAATCCCCCTCCCGGGCAAAGGGGGGGGAAGAGGGTTGTCTGAATAGTGGTAGAGCCACTCTCATGCACCCCCAAGGCTTTTTTTGGGGGGGGGTGAGAGGAGTGCTCCCACGGTGTTCAGACTGTCTCCGCTTCCCAGCTGCTTTTGTCCCTAGGGACAAAACAAGCCGCTGCAACCACCTCTGCGATTAAAGTGATCTGGTGAGTTTCTTTTTTAGAGGCGGACAGAGCTGAGTAGAGGATTTAACTTTTGCTTTCTTTGATTTTATTTGGATTTTAAGTTTAAAGATTTACTTTTACTTTTATATTCCCTCTTTTTATTTTTTTCCTTTTGTTGAAAGGGAAAGTAAAATGGCGATCGGCAAGCCTTTTGGGGTTTTTTTTTTTTTTCCTTTGGGAAGGTAGAATGGCGATCAGCAGGCTTTTTGGTGTTTTTTTTATCCTTTTCCCTTTTTTTTAATGATTGGAACGAAATGTGGATTTGATTTTGATGTTGGGTTTGGATTTTAGAAGCATTATTATTTTTGTTTAACTTCTTTGTTTTGCTTTTTGTACTTTTAAAAAAATGGAATGGATTTTTTCTATTTAATTATTTTCTTCTTCTTCTCTTTTCTTTTTTTAACTCCTTTCTTTTTATTATAATGATCTCCTTTTGAAGGATTTTTTGATTTTTTGGAGTTAATCTCTCTTTTTCTTTTGTTTAATTTTTGTAACTTTTAAGAAGGAGTAAAGATTTTTCTAAGATGGCTCCAAAGCGTTCAGTATTTTTTTGTTATAATGATCTCCTTTTGAAGGATTTTTTGAATTTTTTTGGACTTAATCTCTCTTTTTCTTTTGCTTAATTTTTGTAATTTTTAAGAAGGAGTAAAGATTTTTTTTAAAGATGGCTCCAAAGCGTCCAGTAATTCCTACAGCTCCTAAGGTGGTTTCTTCTTCGGTGTTATCATCAGTGCAACAACCTAAATCAATAGCTTCACCCTCTTCCTTGGTACAGCCAATAATTGTGAAGGATTTGCAAGATATGATGGGAAATGTTATATCTCAAATTAGGGCAGAAATGAAAGAGATTTTAGAGGAAAATAATAAGATTTTGAGGCAAGAGATAGTTTTGGCTCTAAAGGGAGTTGCCTCTGTTCTTGAAAAGCTGAACTCTCGTGTAGAAGAGGTAGCTCAAAAAGTGGAAATGATGGAGGGAAAATTTGAAAGCATGGAAAAAGAAATGGAAAATGAGATTCTTATGCTTCAATATAGACAAATGGAATATGCCTTAAGAATCAGAGGTTTGGGAGAGTCTGTGCAAGGAGATCTGAGAGAGATGGTTGCAAAGGACTTTGCTGTGATTTTGAATAAAGAAAAAGAGGAAATACTTAGTGAAATTGAAAAATTATTTAGAGTTAACTCTGTGGTGGCAGTGCAAAAGAATTTGCCAAGAGATGTGGTAATTTACTTTGGGAAAAGATCCCTGCGCAACGAAATTATACAAGCTTTCTATAAGAAGAGATTTCAAATTGCTTCACAAGATGTTATAATTCTAAAGGAGGTCCCATCTAAAATTTTAAGAAGAAAGGAGTTTGCTTTTTTAGCAGATGAACTTAAAAAGAGACGAATCTTGTTCAGATGGGATGTTCCGATTGGAATGGTGGTGAATTACCTGGGAATATGTTATAGACTTAATACTGTTTCTCAAGCAAAAGACTTTTATACTTCGGTCCTGGGGGTATGTTCATCGCCATCCATTAAGTTTAAAGCTTTGGAAGAAAAGAAGATAGAATTGCAGTCTGAAGAGCCTATACTTATGAAAATTGGGAAACCTCAGTTTGAGGGGCCTCAACAAGTTGAGATGGAGGAGCAGAGGATAACCTGTGCAACATATAACTGTAAAGAAAAGGAGCAACAGAAGGTTAAGGAAGCCTCACAACTATTGGTTTCTGAATTTGCGGGAGAAGTAGGATTTATAATTTTTTTGGAGCAACCTTTAAGAGTAGAATTGCAGTCTGAAGAGCCTATATTAATGAAAAATGGGAAATCTCAGTTTGAGGGGCCTCAATAAGTCGAGATGAAGGAGCAGAGGACAACTCGTGTAATATATAATCGTAAAGAAAAAGAGCAACAGAAGAAGGAGTTTAAGGAAGCCTCACAAGTATTGGCTCCTGAGTCTGCGGGAGAAGCAGGATTTATAAACTTTTTGGAGCCACCTTTAAGGGCAGATTTCAAAGCACTTCTTTCGAGATTTTTGGATAAGAGAGACTGACAAGGATGGAGATCGAATGAAAATTCTAGATAAGAAGTTTAAGTTTAAGTACTTAGTTTAAGTATTTAAAAGAGTACTGAGTCTGTGGGAGAAGCAAGATTTACAAACTTTTTGGAGTTAGCTTTAAGGGCAGTTTTCAAAGCACTTCTTTTGAGGTTTATGGACAAGAGAGACTGATAAGGAATGTGTTTATTGTGGATGGAATTTGTTATTGGTAAAGATTTAAATGTGTATAAGGGAATTCTAATGTTTTAAGTAATGTTCAAATTTGTGTTTTGGAGGGAGTTTATAAAGAATGATGGATAATAACATAAGTATGATATGAAAAGGTTCAGAGTATAATAATGTGTTTAACGATTGGGTTTTTTATTATTATTATTATTATTTTTAAGAGAAGATAACTTGTTTAATTAAATGTATCTAGATTTGTTTAGGATTTATATGTCTTTTAAGTTTTGTTTTTTTTTGATAGGCGAGAAGATTATGGAGATTGAATGAAAATCTTAGATAAGAAGTTTAAGTATTTAGTTTAAGTATTCAAAGAGTATTTAGTTTTAATGGTATAATGAAGGTTTATATGTTTATTTTTGTGTTCTAGGATAAAGAAAGAGGGAGAGATTAGATTTTATATTGTAGGTATAGATATTCAAAGAAAGTAATGTTTAAATTTGTGTTTTGGAGGGAGTTTATACAGAATGATGGATAATAATATAAGTATGATACTAGAAAATGTTTAGAGTATATTATAATGTGTTTAATGATTGCAATTATTATTTTTTTAGAGAAGATAACCTATTTAATTTAATGTATTTAGATTTGTTTAGGATTTATATGTGTTTTAAGTTTTTCTTTTCTTTTTCTGAAAAATTTTAATTAAGCCTGTACTCAGCTCTGGGAAGGTTGGGGGAGGGTTTGGGAGGTTTGGGGAGCTGGGGGAGGGTATGGGAGGGTGGGGGGGTTTGGGGAGGGGATTTGTTTTGTAAAATTTAAAAAACTTTCAATAAAAAAACCAAGGGTGTCCAACCTTCGTAATTTTAAGACTTGTGGACTTCAATTCCCAGAATTCCCCAGCCAGAAACTGTCCCATATGCTTCCAGTAAGTGAGAGATCCAGCGTCCATTTCTCCAAGCTTTGTTAACATTTTCCTGCTGCTTAAAATGTCTTGTTATGAATTACTGTGACTGTCTCCTATTTATAGTGTTTCTCTTCCAGTGCAACAGGAAGCTTTTGTTTGCTCTGTTTAAAAGGTTAAACTGTCTTGAGAACAATCAGTACAGGAAAATGTTTTTGACTGTGTTAGCTTCAGTCAGGACATAAAAGGCTTTCTACCAGGGCAAAATGGAATTTATCCTAGCGGACAACCCTAATGGTATGTCAGGCATTCATTGCTGCCTAACTGAATAAGAATAGCTTGTCCTGCTGATTCTGCCAGCTAGTGTTGGCTACTATTAACTGCACTGTCTTCCCCTCAGCCAAGGTCTGTAGCACAATAACACAACATAATGGAAAAAGCAAACTTTTATGCTCAGTCCCCCCCCCCCATAGTTTGTCTTTGTCTCCTGTGAATAGCAGTAAAAAAAAGTAAACAATTAGATGTTTACATGAAACCAATAAAACAGGGTACCTAATCATAGTACCCTTGACCCCAAATAGGATTCCCAAAGGACTGAAAATCTTTCTTGGATAGAACTTTATATAAATGGGCCTCTTTTTGAAATGTGCTTGCCATAGGGGCATTGGAGAGGGGAATGTAACATTAGCGATTGGCCTGGAGATAAAAGTTTCATTCCATCTTCCATAGGTTAGATAATATGCACTCAGGAATGGAGCTGTTTCAATATATTTTAAGGTTTTCAAACTTTTTTTAAGCTTTTGTAGCATGCTGGTAATTTTTAAAAATTGCTGGTTGAACATGTAGCAAGCAATGTCTCAAAGATAATAGCAATGTCCCAAAGGTAATATCTGTGGCCCATATTCCAGTTGCATCTCCAGACTGACTTTTTTTTGGAACAAATCTGAATTTTTTTAACATATACCATTAGTTCTTTTGTTTTAGAGAACATCAGATGCTGGTGTTTTTTTTTTTTTTTAAAAAATTGCTTTTAAATAATTTAAAATTAAATTTGCTTTTCAAAATTATCCTGGGAAAATTATTGTGAAAAAGAAAAAGGAATCAGACTGGGCGAATTCATTTCACAGCTTTCTGCTAAGCCTGAGGAACCTTTTCAAAGTCAGTCATGATAAGAAATAGGTTCCTAGTTTCATCAAATTCCTCTTAATTTTAATGGTTTTATATTTGTGCTTTTATTATATTGTAAGCTATCCAGTGTAGCTTGGGAAAGTGAGATAGATAGCATATAAATTGAATTAATAAATAGAATCAGCAATAAACTTATAGGTTATGTAAAAACAAATATATTTAATGCTTTAACTTAGTACAAGGCATATAAAAGGGAGGAAACTTTATGAACCACAAAATTAACCAAAAGAGCAAGATCCTTAATTGAGATGGCAACATTATCTGCAAAGATTACCAGACTGTTCTAATATGATTTGTGTTTGATTTTGTGAGTGTAAACCCAGCAATTGTGCCTTATAATTTATGCCTATGTCTTCTATATTATCAATCATGGCTTATTCAACAAAACAATATTATATTACTTGTTACGTTGTATCTTCCTATTCCTCGAAAAATTCAAGATGACACATGTAGCTCTCCTTCTTGCAGCATATAATTATCATCTAATTTTATTCCACAATGACCTTTTGAGGTACATTGGGTTGAGAAAGAATGATTGATCTGAAGTCATCCATTGGCTTCCATGGTTAAAAGTGGATTTGAATCTGTTTCTCAATTGTAATCTACACAATACTTCTGGATATAATTTTTGAGTCAGTTATATATCCAGTTAATTGTCATGCTATTCAGTCAATATGCAATAAGTATGACTGAAAATGAACACAGTACAAGTATCAATGCCCAATTTCATTGTGATGTATCCATAACTTAGAAACTGAATCACCAATTTGTTATTTAGTATGAGTTACAATTCAACTCTGCTCAAATGCAATTTATTGCAGTTTACAATTACATTAAAATGACAAAAAAGATTAATAATCTTTGATCATTTTAGTTATGAGAAATCCTTAACCAAAATATTTAATAAATAAAAACAAGAATTGCCAGCAAGCTTTCCCTGACACCTAGGCTCTGCAGAACACAAGGATCTGTCCACATGGCAAAACTTCACAGAACAGGCTTTATAATTCCATTGTGTTCCTTCAAAAATACAGTTTGTATTTCAGCTGTTCCAACAAAAAAATCTTGGAATTGCTAGGTCAGTTTGATCCATGTGGAAATGACATTATTACACTGAATAAAAGAGCAGCATTCTCAACTGGGATGAGGGGAATGTGAGAGACTGTGCCACCAAGCAGCATTTGAAGATGGAAGATAGATACTATATTTTAAAAGGATTAAAAATATAGTGATACATAGTAATTAACTAGGTTTGCATATCCTACTTAAGCCATAAATCATGATTTATATAAGACTGAGTGATTCATAAAGTAAATCACATTATGGTTCAGTGCAAAGTGTGTGGACTAGATAACAAAAATGTACATTTCTTTAATCCCTTTATGATGTCTGGTTAAATAGTTAAATATTTCCATGTTCTGAAACAGTACTAAAATCCATAAAAATCTACCAAAGACAAAAATAGGATGAACGTTCACACCACAAACAATGACTATTCTTTAAATCTGCTTTTAATTCTTAGAAAATATCAGGTCAGCATTGTTTCATCATGTCTCATAGCGATTCCTCAAGGTTCAGATAGTTGTCTTTCTAATCCTTATCACCTGAAATTCCTCAAAGTGAATATCCTACAAATAGAATGCTTACTCCATTCATGGTCCTGTGATCCCTCTCTTCAAGACTTTTAAAGCTTACAGCTAGAATGGTGGAAAACAAGAACTTTTCTTGGTAGCGTTATACCTGGAGGCTCATCTGAAGAGGACCTCCCAAACTCTTGTTTAAGTACCCAGAAATAAAATCAACAAAATGGGGATAGAGTATCACAGGATCTTTGAACAAATAAATTACTTTCTTTTTTTAAAAAAAAATGCATTTGTAATGCTAATGTTTTTCCAGATAATGTTTTTCAGATGTGCTAGTATTTCCCATCATAGCCGGTCAGCGTATGCTGGTTGTGAACACTCTATTCTAACTCCAGCCTTTCTGAAAGGCAGCTGGTTAGGAAAAGTTGCTTTCTACCTTTACCACTAAAGGATTTTTGGAGCCACTTCTTTCTTTCTTCCGTACCGCCACACCTTTTCCTGCTGCCTATATCGAGCCTCTTGGAAAGTTTTCTTTATTTGAACAGAAAATCCAGGACTATCTTCTTGCAGAACATTAACACACTGTAGGATGAAAGGAGTCCTCTCCCAAGGGAGTGGTCTATTCCGTGGCCGCATGGGTATCACACTGTTATGTTTGTTTGGGATGGTCAGCGCACCCAAAAGAGAAGTATAGGATTGGAATTCACACCAAAGGTCTCTTAAGAAGTTTTCTGTCAGCAGTATAATTATCCAGGCAGAATCGTTAATGGCATCAGTTAAATTTTCCAGCAAATGTCTACCACTAGGCATTTCTGCAAAAATGATTCCTGGTTTGATACAATATTCATTTTGTAAGAGGTCTTGGACTCTAATGGCTTCTTCTGTATCCTCCTCAGCATGAAGAATCACAAACCTGTAAAACATATCTTCAGCCTCCTCATCATTGCTGTCTACATCTTGGATGCTAGGATGATAACAGTTTTCCAATGTAGAGTTTTGGTTAAAGTGGTGTTTGTTTTGACTAGCACACTTAGTCTCCATTCTGTTCTTCAGAAAAGAGGGATAAATTCTTTTGGAAATACTATTTCCCATTGTGGCAAACTCTTAGATGTAAAGAGTTAGTAACCTCATTCCTCCAGTCTGTAAAACAAACGGAAAATAAGGAAGTATATTATTATCAGAGTTAACCTGAAAAGAATGTAGGCCAAGGAACATGGGACAAAAGTTATTAAAGGGTTGCAAAGGCAAGATTGGAAACAACATTAAGAAACAAAAGAGAAAAACCAAAGAAGTCTTCTTATTTACAGAGAGAAGATGAGTGCAGAGTTATGAAATCTTGAATATTCCTTCAAGTCTATTTTATGGGATAAAGTTTTTTTAAAAAACAAACAAACCTACCTTGGTATTTTATAAATGCCTTCGAAGGCATTCAAAGTTCTTCTATCTTTTCTGTCAACTTATCTTTGTTAAACATGGACTTTAACTGCACATTGCAAGCTACCCTAAATAATAATAAAGCTTTAATAAATCTTACTGCTAATACTAACGAAAGAAGCCATTATTTGCAACTTTGTAGTGGTTAAGGTTATAGGCTAGAAATTGGGAGACAGTGAGTTCTAGTCCTGCCTTAGACATGAAACCAGCTGGGTGACCCTGGGCCAGTCTTACAGTCTCTTGGTTTCTAGCTGAATCCCTTAACCAATCAGGACAAATTGGCTGTATCATTCAACTATAGGAAACTATTAAGAAGTTGTCATTGCTACTAGACAATTTAACAATTTCCTGGCATCAGAGATGGCAGATTTTGTATGTGAGTCAAAGTAAAAGTTGACTTTTTTTCAACTAATCCTTCATATCTTATAAAACTGTGAGATTAATGCTTAAAAAGGAAAAGAGAAGGAGCAAAGATAATCTGCCTAATAATCAAAAGAGAAAGCTCAGTTCTTTGAAATAAAATCTGAACAGGTTCTTATGCAAACAGAAACACACAATTCATTTAATTAGCTAATGTATCAATTTAATTTGGAATTATGTGTGCCTTCTTCATTTTTAAATTCTTTTTATTTCTAAAGATTTGGTTTCATTAAATTATTTCATAAAAATTTCCCTGTGTGCAAGACAATATAAAACCACTATTCCTTATGTTTCAGGATGTTCGTTACAATGGATGTTGGACAAGAAGACCCATAGCACTTTACTTTCTGTTTCCCTAAGCTGGGTTAAGTACAAATACCTTGATAAGAGCACTTCAAACTCTTCCATTGAAAAGACTACAATATTGTCAGGTAATTTGTCCTGATTGATGAGAACTGGAGTGCACAAATGGAAAATATGTTTTGTCTCATGTATAACAGATGCATTGTTGCTCAAAGTTTGGATGGACAATTCAACAAGGGAAAGACAATTCAACAATCTGACAAAAATGAAATTCAGATAATTTTGGACCGTGTTACAACATACAATGTTTCCAGATCTACACAGTTGCACTTAAAATACATGAGATCTGTCCCACAAATCAGCTTTAATGAGTGTTTCATATTAGTTCTATTGTATTATTAGATCTAAGTTGTTTTTAATTTCCATTGTTTTTACCCCATTCCTTTTTGAGGGTTTTAGATTTTTGTGTATTTTTTTTGTATTTTTTATCCTTTTAAATTCCTTTGCACTTTCCTTTTTTTACATTTCCTTGGTTTGCTGGTGTGATATAGATTGTACATCATGAGAACTGGCAAAAATACTAATCTTCATTAGAAAGACTTTTAAGTAAAATCTGCAAAAGATAGCAAAGGATCAGTACATGTTTTCCATTTTTGTATCTGTGGTATGTTACCCAAAATACAGGCTTCAGATCCTATTAAGGAACGAGGGCAAGAAAAAACTCCAGAAAACTGTTAAGATCTTTTTATTAAGTGTTTGGTGGACAAAATCATGCATATTCATTCAGAGCTAATGAGTCCAATAAGCTGACACCGATGTTTTCTCCTATGATCTGGAATTCATCTGATCTTATGGATTCCAATGATGTAGAAGAATTCTCTCTGTGAATATATGGGCTGGATCTTTATCCATCCTGGCTCATTTGAGGAATGGAGATGAAGAGCTAGAGCCAAAAAGTGCCTCTTTGAAATGGGAGTGGTACCATCATCTTTGACAAAGGCAGTAGCACACTCTCATCTTAAATAGCAATCCTTGATAATTTCCACCCTGTCTCTAACCTTTTCTTTCTTGAAGAAAGTGGTAGGCCAGCAAATTCAGAGGACCCTGTGTAAGACAATTTGTCCAGAACCCTTTCAGTTAAATTCAGATTTGGGCATAGGATTGAAATGATACCACTTGGTGTTGTTGATACTCTACAGCTACGAGGGACTGAGCGGGAAGAAGCTCAGCCAGACAGAGAAGTAGAAATCATTTGATTCCAGATTCCAGACTATTGGACCCAGATTCTAGATTCTGAGCTGTTGCTTCTGTCTGAGAATCCGAGAACATGTTACGGTCAGTCTAAGTTCCTGCAATGTATCTCATAAGCATTCTGATTTGTATTACAGGTAGTCCTTCGATTATGACAGAAATTGGGCTACACATGGATACTTCCAAGCACAGATTGGTGCGGGATGAGGGCAAATGCTATGAAACGTGGAAAGACTGGCATGGCCATTACAAGGCACAGGCAGGCAAGGGGTTCCAATAGGGTATGAGATTCCCTAGGATCTCATACTCCATAGCAGAACTCCTTGGGGGGGTGGGAAATGATGGGAATGACCTACGGGAGCAACTTGCAAGCTTCTCTCCCAGTTTCCCTGTTGACTTTCCTTGTGGGAAGTCAGCAAGGAAGGTCACAAATGGCCATCCCATGACTACATAAGCATCCAAATCATGATCATGTGACTGCAGCAATATTGCAATAGCCACAACTTCACGGCCAGTGTTAAGTTTCCCTCATTTAGCACTATCATAATTTTAAATAGTTTGAACATACAGTTGTAACTTGAATATTATTACTACAATTATTACTTATTTAATATGGGTGACATTATAGATGATATTGCTTAAATGATTATGAAAAAAGAAACAAATAAAATCAGACCTTGTTTGTATTGAATGGAAAAAAATCCCAGAAAAAAGCAAGGGCAAACCACTTCCACATAGTTGCAAAAACAAAATTTGGGGGAAGCAGTATCTTTATATAATGAGTATGTCTGTAGATTTCAATTTCACTCTATACTAGTGTTCCTCAAATTCAGTAACTTTAAAATGGTGGACTTCCATTTCCAGAATTCCCCAGCGAGCATGCTGGGATGATGTCACCAGATAGAGCATCTTCAGTAGATATGTTTGTTTGTTTGTTAAAGTTATCTGCTGCCTATCTTACTGTGGGGCTACTCTAGGCAGCTTACAATAATAAAAAGGAAGACGTGAAAAGAATGTAAACAGAAAGAAGATAATTCCTTGTCATCTTGACATCTTACAATGTCATCTCTCCTGTGGAAGCTGCATTGGCTGCTAATCTGCTGCCAGGTACAATTCAAGGTTTCAAAGCCCTACGTGGCTTGAGACCAGGTTATCTGAAGGACTGTCTTTTCCCAATCACATCTACCCAACCCACCAAAGCGGGAAGACAGGGAATGTTGCAGGTATCTCTGGTGGGATCCAGAAAAAAGCATTTTTTTCTGTGATCCCCTTCCTTTGGAACATTGTCCCTGTGGAGATTATATTAGCCCCCAGTCTGACACTTTCAGAAGGTCCTGAAAACTTGGTTTTGCCCGAGAGGAACTGAGTGGGATCGAGCCCATCAAGTGGCTTGTTTGATTGATTGTTGTCATGGGGGGTGGTTGAGGGGGTTATTGTTTTTTATTATTTATTTATTGGGTTTTTATTTTTGTAAGCCACCTACAGTCATTGAGAGTGAATGGATGGTCACATAAATTTTCTTAAATAAATAATAGAACAATAAAATAAACAATGAAAAAGAACGATATTATGGGGCCATAGCAAGAAAAATAACTCAAAACAGCAAACCACAATGTTGCTTGATATCAATAGGTTTGATGAATTCCTACCTCTTAAACCTGAACATATCCTTTGTCTTCCCAAGCCATCAAACCATTGCCGTAACTTGCTCAGTAGAACTAATTGGACTTTCGCACTTTAAGAAGTTTGCAAAGTATCGCAAGTAGGACAAGGAGAAAAAAAAAGCCCGTATTTCCTCAAAAGCCCACTGTGGCTTTCACAGACCTCTCTCAAGCCAAAACTTTCCATTTCAGGGGTCTCCACTCTTGGCAACTTTAAGACTTGTGGACTTCAACTCCCAGAATTCCTCAACCAGCTTTGCTGAGGAATTAGAAATTTAATTAGAAATTAAACGGTTCAGGAATTTGGGATCTTTGCTCGAGTATTACACTAATACTTTCCTCCCTCCTTCCCCCCCCCCATCGGTTGCAAGCGACATTTACCAGCTTCATCGGGCGACGGAATTCCTCAGAACCCGGCGCAAAGTGTATCATGGGAAACCACCTTCACCCTCAAACCACCAACTCCTCGCAAATCTTCGGCTGGAATGGGCCACACAACTCTCATCTCGACTAGGTGAAGAAAAAGAGAAGCGAAGGCGGGGCGGGGCGGGGCGGAGCCGACTGACGCGCTAGAAGCTTGTTTCCTGTTTCCCGAGCGCAGTTCTCGGGTTTTTAGTTCACGCGGGTTGGCTTTGCTGAAGTGTTAACCTAATTCAAAAGTTAACACTTTGCAAAATCTAAGTTATACAGTATACTAAGGCGTACCGAGTCACGAGGGATGGAACTCAGCTTCTGGTTTTTTTTCTTCATGAACGGCTCATGAAGCTGAATGATCGAACTAAGTCTTTATGGCTTGGTGGTGGGTTGGGGTGCGGTACAGACGCAAGTGTTTGGCTTAATTCAACAAACCGTTATTATTCAGTTAACTTGTCGCTTGGTGCCGGCCAATTAAGAGACAAGCAATTAGCTAAACCAATCTTTCTGATACGCCACAATTTATTAAATTAGTGAGATAGCCTGGAAAAAAATGGAATTGTATTCCACATTTTCTATGTATATTCTTCCCGTCCAGCTCTGGATTTTAATAGTACATTCTGTAGAATACACAGAACAGGATTTTGTGCTGTTCTGCCAGAATTTTAAGGCTGGTTACAGATGGCAGTACAGACCCTTTTCACTAGATCTTCCATTATCAAGTGTTCACATATCGCAGTTAGCCATAGACTAACTTTCTGGAATCCCACTCTGTATTGTCTATGGCCCAGTGTATCGTGTGAGCCCAGAAGATGGAACAGGGCTCGCTATTTGTTAAGTGTAAAAATGGATGAGCTGTCTCTTATTCAAAAGATAAGTTCTTGTCATACTTTTGCCACATTTTGCTTTGATATGCATACTTTTATTAATGTAGTACAAGGATCAATATAGTTTAAGGATATGAATGTATTTGTGAATTATATACCAAGGTCTTCTGCCTTGAGCAGGGGATTGCATTAAACCTCCAAAGTCCCTTCCAGCTCCTAGGATTCTATGACTTCTATGATATAAATTTGTAATTGATATATAGATTTGGGACCAGCAAAAGAAAACAGTTAAGTTCACTGTTCAAATTTGGAGACAGTAAAGCCTCAGATTTACAATCTAAGCCCACAGATACATTTATTTTCTGCATGAGCTCATTTTTTTATTGATGAAATGGAAATTCTAATATTATTTCACTTACTTAAGATTCAATTATTTGCTTAAAAATTATGCTGAATGATTTTTTGTTTGCAACATCTTTGTTTTCCTTTTTTCCATATATGAAAGAATTGTGGTCCCAAAAAACTAAAATGTGTTCCTGTTTACTTATATAGCTAAGGTAACCATGGGTAAAATGCCATTGCAAATAACTAGTGAATTTTTGGTTGGTTTTGCACAACCAAAGATTGTGGTTTATTATGGCATTCAAGCCTGATATGGCAATTGGTGATTTCCAAAAATCAGAATTTTAGTTCCTAAAAGTTCGTTATCAACTACAAAATGCATTTTGTAAACCTTCAATGATGGCTTCTGGTTCAGGTACAAATCACAAATCTTTTTGACACTGCAGTGCATGAAAGGTAAAATGGCAGCATGTATGTTTTTTAACCTTTTGCTTAGTGTGTCATTTACATAGCCTTATAAATATGAATTTTGCTTTAGAAAACTGAAATTAGACAAGCTTCAAATTCCAGAGATCAAATATTACAATAAATTATGGTTTATGAATTACACTGGATTTTAGCCAAAAGGCCGAGAAGCGATAGGTCAGCATATATTCTTCCCTTATTAGAGAGATTGCCAGGGAGGGCAGACAATTTTTATGTAGGCTTTCTCTTCCAGGACTCAAACCTTTATCACACATGCAGTGACAAAATACTGTGTTGTGGCAATGTCCACAAGAAAAAAATTGGTTACAAATTTATAGCTGTCAACTTGTGCCAATTTTTTGGAGATATCTCTAATAATTTTTGGAACATTATATTTACTCACACTTATCAGCTTTCCACTCACGTAAACTAGGGAGTGACCCTAACATGTATTTTCTTAACAGGGATGTTATTATTTACTATTAATGTCAGTACTATTTTTATTTTATTTTTTTCTTAATATATTGTAAAAAGTGATGTCCATTGCTGGTCTATGACAGTAATAAAGTTATTAAAATGGTTTATGAATTATAAACGGCTCATTCACAGCCAGTTGAAATTTATGAACCATAAATCATGATTTATAAACCACAGTTGTTAAATTCACACAATATATTTGCTGAAATTAAATTAATCACTTTATGGATTAATGCAAGTTGGAAAATAATTAATTGATTTTAAAATTCTTGTCATGCTCTTTAATTGTAATACTCCAAATTGAATTTGTTAAAATGTATGAATGCCACAGAGGACTCTTTTATTATAACTCATACATAGAATGTGGGGATGGCAGGTAAAACCAGTGGGACACTGAACAGCATTCGGCAAAAATGTGCTGAAAGTAAATCGGACATCATTATGCAGTGTATGATGGTAATTTCCATGTGTTCTTAAAATTCAACATTTGATAATTAGTGGTTTATTTGTATGAACATGAAAACTGAAAATTTCTGGTTACTACAGTTCAGGGCCATTAAACTGCTCTGTATTAAAAATTTTACAGCCAGATGTGTTGAAGTTTTTCAAAATTCTTAAACAGCACTTTTATAGTTTCAATGTACCTTAAGGGTAAGGGAAGGCTGGGTTAGAATCTACATCTACAATTTGACAGGAGTATTCTTTTCAAAATTGCTATTATGGTCTAGATCAGGGGTAGACACCCTCGGCTCTTTTATGACTCATGGACTTCATCTCCCAGAATTCCTGAGCCAGCTGGCTCAGGAATTCTGGGAGTTGAAGTCCATGAGTCATAAAAGAGCCGAGGTTGCCTACCCCTGGTCTAGATGATCCAGTTAGCACACCGAGGACATTCATTTTCTGTATTCTTACAAATGGGTATTAGGCTTTTTACTGATTTCTTTTATTTACAAATGTACTCCCCATAAGATTTTCTTATAATTTTACAAAGTAGTTCCCAAATTATTTATTGTAACTCTTTTCTTCCTATCTCCCCAAGTTTCTTCAGTTGTGTCAACATGGTACTTGATTCTCAAATTATTTTTGGAATATTTACCAAGTCATATGATTTCCAGAAGATGAAACAAAAAAATTTCCATTGCATCATTTTTTTCTATTTTTTCCCCTGCATTTCTCCTTCCGCTTGTGCTATCAAGTCTCTTCCCCTTTCCTTGCAGTGTTGTAATCTGAGATAATAAATCTGTAGCCAGAAACTCATTTTAATCACCACTCCCAGTTTGTAGTAATCACTAACTTCTCCAGTTTGGTGCCCTCTGTTATATTGCTATTAGTGGTGCCCTCTTGTGAATTGCTATTAGCTTATAAGTTCACTTAAACCAGGGGTTCTCAACCTTGGCAACTTTAAGACTTGTGGACTTCAACTCCCAGAATTCCTCAGCCAGCAAAGTCTTAAAGTTGCCAAGGTTGAGAACCCCTGAAAAACATATATGCAGTGCTTTTTTTGTTAAAAAAAAAAAAAAAAAAAAAGCTGCCAGAACTCACACACGTCTACAACCCACTTTGCCTACCCTACAAGGTTCCATCCAAAAAAGGTGCCGGAACTCCGTTCTGGGTGTTCTATGAGAAAAAAAAAGCCCTGCATATATGTGTATGTGCACACAAGAAATATATGGTTGTATCCTAATTATGAAAAAATGAACATTTATTGTGCTCTTGAATTGAATTATAAATGATTATCTTAAGCTTCTTGCCACAAAGGAATCAATGGGATTGGTTTGTAAAATTCTACAAGCAATTACAACAGGTGAAAAATAGGTGTAAAGAACATTAGTCTGGTCTTAGTATACTAACTATACTGCTCAAAAAAATAAAGGGAACACATCCTATAAGAAATCCTATAGGATGTGTTCCCTTTATTTTTTTGAGCAGTATATATTTGTGTCGAAGCATATGTAATAAATGTTTATCTTAAAACAAAATTTAAACATATTCAGAGTCTTGGATTGATCAAGACCTTCAGCAAGATCAAAGTATTCTGATGTTTGCAACTATCTGACAAATTATTAAAGGAGAAGGGAGGGAAACCGGAGAGGGTGGGAACTGCTATCCAAGATATGCTAAATGCTGGCTTATGAAATATTGTTTGATCTGACAATCAGTTATATCCATTTATCTATATCTACAATTAATTTATGTGGAAACTTGCACACAGTTTATGGAAGTAAGTTTTATAATAGTAAGCAAAACCAGAAGCCTATTCTGAGAATTTGTAAAAACTGTGTTTTTCTTCAGCATTGCCTTTGCTTCTAAAATTGAAATAGAATAATTTTAAACTCCAAATTTAAAGAAAAATGGCAACTTCTAAGATAATTTTACAATTGTTGTTATAACACAACTCTCCAAATAATAACCACTCAGCAGAATCTTATATTAATTTTATTATTTCATGTATAATTTCACAGGGCTATTTTTTGTCTTACTGACACCAAAGGTTTTTATTAAGAACCGAACACATCATATTGTACATATATATGGGCTTCAAGAAAATGAAATCAAAAAACCTGGAACCATGATATGGTTAAACTATTTTAATTGTATATATCTGAGTCTTTGAATAATTCTTATGACCAAATTGTGTTTACAGACATTTTAAAACTTGCTTTGGAATCTGCTTTTGTCTATTAACCACTGCTAATAATAATGCCTGTTAGAACCAATTGTGGCAACTTTCAAATTTCTGAAATATGAGAAAGGAACATTGAAAAAATATAAACTGCAGCAAGATACAAGATAATTTAGACAGAATCCAAATAGTTAAGCCACTGTCCCAAACCCTATCCTACAAAAAGAACAGCCAAATTTATTATTATAAATTAAAGAACTAGATGCAAAATTCATACAATGTGCCTAAAATAAGTATGATTGGACTGAAATAATGCAGGGCAAACACCTAGAACCTTGAAAAATATTTATATCCATATTGGGAAGTCACCAAATATGCATTTTTATCCTTGAATTATATCCTGTCAACTGTTTGTTACAAATTCAGAAATTAGGCCATGGTTATGAGCCTTTTCTCCATCATATACGTAACCAGTTTGATACAGATGGCCAAACTTTGGAATAAAAAAAAAGTAAAACTAAAGAAACTCTCACTGACCTATTTACAAAAAAAAGTATACAACTTTAGTCTGAACAGATAGGCCCTTATGAGTTCCTCAGATTTATGGCTAAATACCACTTCTGCCAATCTTCGTTTTACAGGATTTCTATGGGTCTCTTGAATATAAATCATTAAAAGGAATGGAAGGTAAAGCAGCTCATTCTAAAAACTGATTTAATTACTGTTTTCACAAATTGCATGTAGTTGACCTTTACAAGAAACAACAAGTACATTCAATAAATTTATTTTCTGCAAGCTCAAGTGAAAGACCAAGCACCTTCTACAGCAAGCTATTATAGCAGAATGTTAAACAAATACAGCACGGGAATATTCCCCATCTCTAAACACATCAATGCTCTATTTTCTAAAAAGCCACATCCACAAACTAAGGGGAAATATTAGGCATTTTTAGCATCGTCACTTAGTCAGACTCCATGACAGAGCATCTCTCATCCTTTTACAGCATAATCAGGTAGCGCATACAGAAAAAAATGCAAAATGTGCTTACAGAATATCTACAAAGGGGAAAATTGGTGAATTCGCTGCACAAATGTACTATAAAATATCGCTTATTTTAGTGAGTGTTAACCCTTAAGCATAGTGGTATTCATATTTTTTTCAACCACTACAAATTCTTTCTTCATCCTTTCAGACAAGCCTTGTTATCCATTTAGAAGATGCCAGTTTTACTAAGAGGAATGAAGCTTACCTTTAATGTGTATGGTTATGGTGGTAATGTTAATTTCTTTTGAGCATTCTGAAATAATGTTGTACAATCTTAAAAACCCATAAAAGCATTTGTGATGTTGGAAAGCAGGTATAGTAGAACTAGCAATTATATGGCAAAATCTCTCATTCTCCCCAATCTTGTGAGCTACTTCAAAAAGTAGCCTTTTAGCATAAAACTGGTAGGATAGGGTAATATAGTACCGTACTATCCCCATCTATTTAGAATGTTTAATCAGCAAATTAATCCACATACATCCAGCATCTGCATACATTGCTTAATAAATCAATTATTTAGAACAAAACCCTCGAGCCACTTATGGCCCTGCAATCCTATCTTATTTAACATGGCAGTCTCCAAATCTCTTGGATTGTAACTCCCATGATTACTGACCGTCTTTAAAATTTATGGGAATTATAGTTACAAACATCTAAAGGGCATACGGTTGAACAGCTCTGATTTAATATTAGAGACTACAAGGCTAAATTTTAGCTGCAAGTTACTTAAACCAGTGCATTTTTACTTAGTCCTATCAAGTTCAAGTGAAAACATCAGATTCCAAAATTTATATGGTTCGTGTCAAAGCTGACTGATTTAGTTCTCAAGGCAGCAGCAACAGCAACACTCAAAGACTCAGCTTCAAGAATTAGAAGGCATTTTCCCCATTATTTAATTTAAAAAGCAAAATGCAAAAATGATAACCTTTCAATGCATAGGAAATTGTTTTTTCCCCAGGACTCTAAAATTGGTAAGAGTAAAATAATATATATTTATATATCTATATACACCCCAATAACTGATTCAAGACCCTAGAATTTCCATAGACACTCAAAACAGTGCAGTACAAGACTTTGAGACTATTATTATGTGTTTTAGTTTTCATTTCAATGCTTCAACTTGCAAGGTCAGGCTTTTTTTTCATTCATAAGGACAATCTTTTAATTAACTACTTAAAGGATTTTCTTAAAGCACTAAGTACTTACAAACAAGTCTCATTTGTTAAAAAACTAGCAACTATTAGATTTCTCAGCAGATGCAAAAGAAAACTCCAATGTATAACAAATAAAAGGCTGTCTTTTTTTTTCTGTGACAGCTTTTGAGAGTATGAATTTCAGAACTTTGAAGTGAGAAGGCTAAAGGTATTTAAAATGTTCCCTGTACTTAATTGTTCTTTAACTAGAACTCATTCAAATAATAGTATATTTTTCAAACAATGGATATGAAGCTTGTTATGATCCAACACGAGTTGTAGTGGTTCTTTTGTCAGAGAAGAAGCTTTTGAGAAGAAATACCTGCCCAATGCTAACTACAAGCAGAATGATGGCTTCGCCTATTGACCAATAAGCCACTCGTGTGTTTAAGTCTTCTGCTCGGCTACGGCCTTGTGCTTCCCTCAGTCGAAAATGTGTCTGATAATCAATGACGGATTTTAGAGCTTCATGAATTGAAACACACGCTGACTCCATCTAGAGACAGGAAAATAGAGCACTGATGAGTAAAACAGACTGAAATCTAATCACTATTAATAAAACAGAAATAGAACCTTATGGAAACATTAAATCGTATTTTACCATAGCATATAGATAAAACAAGTAGAGTTTTATAAAAATCGAAAGGATTGTTCTTCAGAATCACATTATTGTAATACAGTATTAATCTAGTTACTTGTCCTTTTACTTAGAATAAAAATAATCAATTCCAAAAATATTTTTTAATAAAAGAGAGCAATTACCAAGTCTTTCTCTCAATATAGAAACTGTTGTCAGTCAGCAACAAAAATGTCAGAACTTGAATCAAACTATATATTGAAAGCTTTTGAATTTTAACTCTAATATTTAAATTTAGTAATTTTATTACTGAGATCCTAAAATGAAACATGCATATCTATAATGAACTCTACAATCATATGAACTATTTGCTCAACTCCTCTAACCTCTTTCCCTTGAATAACTCAGGAGATTCCTTCCAATCCTCTAAATCAGGAGTGTCAAACTGCCAGCCCATGGGCCAGACGCGTCACGACGAAACCGCACCACCCCATTGCCAGCAATGGGAAAAAAGCTCTGATACGTCGTGCGACATCACATGATGTTGCGAGTTTGACATGTCTGCTCTAAATGGTAGTTTGGAAATGGAATGATATAGGAGAAAGGATTGAGCCCATCTCAGTACTACTGACAAAAGCTGCTCTGCTGATACAAAGATGTTACTTAAGTAGCAGTTTCAGAGTCCCTGATCAACAATGCTGGATGCTATAAGTTGCAGTTAACAATAACTGGAGGTTTGCAGGTCTTTCTATTGGGCTATAGTAAAAACATACGCTTTAGGGAGTTTTTTACACAATAATAGCCAAGGCTTTTGTTGCCTTTATTCACTTGTTTGTTCCTTCTCAGAAGTCAGCTGATACTAAAGTGCTATTAGAAGCTGCAGAGATCTGATGTTTTTATCTACCTTTTTATCTTATCTTATTATGAATTATTGCAATGGAATTTAAAATTCAGAGGTCTTTACAAACCACTCAAGCAATATCAAGTTACAATTTACAATATTAATACAAAAAATATTTAGTTGTGTAAATGAAAAGATGGCAACTGCCATTCTCCATTGTATTCCCATTGTTGATCAAGTGAGAATGTCACTCAATTAAATGGCCATGTGATCATGCTACTAGACAAAAATAACATTTCTGAATAACTGTAAACTGTTTCTAGTAAACTTTAGGATAAAGACAGTACATTACTGTGTACTCAAAATTCACCATACCTGAGTGAGTGCAGTGACTCTGTTTTCACTAGGAAAGAGAGGGGGGTCATCTCCAACTTGAAAATCAAAGTATACTGTTTTGTGTGTGAAAGTTGAAAACTCATTGCTGAAACAAAATTTGTATGTTCCATTTCTAGATGCGGTAAAGGTAAAACTATCATATTGTTTCTTCATTTCTTTATATAGCACAATCCCATCTGGATCTTCTAAGCGGCAATCGACATCATAGTGTCCTCCAGTAATCACCTGTGGAATAAAGAAAACTGGTATTTGGAACAATAGTCACTGATCCTATTCTTATCAGTTAAGAATCTTTACAAAGCAAATATACTAAACAGCACATTGTTAAAAACATCAGTAAGGGAAATTAAGTATACTGCGGTCACAACTAAGTCAAGGCAACTTAAAACATTTTGATGCATTTCACATATTTTTGCACTTGTAGTAACTGTTTGGACCAAATAATAATTGAAAAATAACCATAAAAGTTATCAAGTTAACATGAAAACACAACACTTAAGAATAACTATTCAAATTGTGTAACAGTTGTTAAAACCATTAAGGCCACAGTTTTGAACTTCTTACTACTATAGATAAAATCCTATCATATAATATCCAAAACTAGATGTGCATTTATTAAAGACTGACATAGGCTTTGCATTTTAGTGAAAGAAAAGAGGATGACCAGTAGCAAGGTATATAGTTTCCATTACAGCACCTACTGGAAGAGATGAAAGGCCAAATGGGTGACAAATGATCCTAGAAAAATCCTATCTATGAAGTCACTAAGAGTCAAAACTGATTTGACAGCATGTAATCAATGAAAAATACAAAAGAAAAGAAGAACATTAAAACCTGCAGCACTTCTGAAAAAGTTCTTCATTCTCTAAACTGAGGAAGCCCCTTCATCTTGTACTCGCACAAACACAATCTCATATGTATGTAAAATCAGCAGACCATACTAAAAGATAAATTTTCATGAACAGAGGGTTCCTTTTATTTTTGGAAGGCTTTTGGCTTAGTGTGGAGATATTGTTATAAAAGAATAGGGCAGCTTTGCTATTTTGTCTAGCATACGTTAACATTCTTTAAAAATATGATACAGTTACTAGACCTACAAAATAATTAGTGTAAAGGAATCAGCAGCTGGAGGTAAAAAGATAAGGTTATCTCTATATCAATTATGAGAGATCTTACTACAAGTCCATGAAACAGATGGTTCTTTTGATAGAAACCAAATCCATGTAGTTTGTAACAATGCACTGATAACACTGAAGATTAAGATTAAAGTGTTGTGGAATAATATTTTATATTATGATGTATAATGATCAAGCTAGATAACACAAGTTACATTCAGCAAAGCAAACTTTTGAAAGCTCTAATAAGGTCAAAAATATATTGGACAATTTTTAAAAATAGATTATGTACATTAAGCATTTTTCTTCACCTTAAGTATACTTTCATGAATGCATACAATTCATTCTCTTCTAGAATAGGTTATCCACAAATAATCCATGCTGAAACCAAGAGAAACTATGTCAACATTCAATACCTATTGCTGACAGCTGAACAAGCAGCATCAGAGTTACAAAGCCTGAAATAAGAAGCATGGAACATCATAGCAAAAGGATGGAAATACACAGCAAGATTAGAACTGCAGAATTTTAACTCCAGAGACCGTGGCTAGCATTTTTGGAAATCCTGCAGGTAAGAGTACCTATTTAGATTATTATAGTTTGGACTTCAAGATAGAGTTATAGATACAAATTGCTTATAATCATGATATTCTATTCTATTCATCCTCTCTTCTGGTTTCATAGTCTTTCTCTGAAAGAGTCAATTGGTGTTCCTTTCCTATTAAGAATGATGGATATATTTTCTTATCAAGTCCTTGCCAATTTATTTGCAATAGAATTTCGTCTTACCTGTGGTATTCCCCTTCTCTGAGCTGCACTAAAATTCCTATTCTAGATAGATGGGCACATGCAAATCTTTTTCAGTAGCAGAATTACAAATATGGAACTTTCCAAGGGAAATCTCCATTGTTCACTTTTCCTAAGCAGTTAAACAGTTGTATACAACTGAGATTTTATATATTTTGGTGTGTTAATTTTAACAATGTCGTTAAGTGTTATTACATGGCAGGAAGACAGGCAGAACATCTTTCTAGTTATCTGGTTAAGAGAAAATGCATTTTAACGTGCAATAATGAATGTAAACACTTCTAACATTTCATCTCTGTTAGTAAGAATTAAGTTCAATATGGCTGATCTTCTGGTTCCTTCTCTACTTTTTGGGGGACAAAGTTGTCTGCTAGGTTTGTCAGGAATCTGTTTGATCTTCCACTTGGTGCAGAGTTTATCTCTCAGTCCATGTCAGGGTAATTAAATAATAATAGTAACAATGATGACAACACTAAATCTTTTAACCAATTATAACTATTATATTCTTGTTTTTCCATATATAACTCAGTACTTATGGTAATATATTTGCTGAAATAATGAATGTACATTTATATTCAGTCTACGTAGACATGATTTTCTTCCCAGCAACAATGATCCGATATCTTGATTCCTAAAAAATATGACTGGATTCCTGAGCTAGTGCTATAGATAAAATTATACAGTTCATTTTTATCATTAGTTCTCTGTACCAAAATCTGTTAAACATCTTGCTCTATGGATCATTTTCAAATAGTTATTTACTGTTTCAATTTGTTTCCCTAAATCTTGATAATATGAAATATTGTCTGAAGTCATCAAGTTAAATGAGAATAACATTCCAAATATTTGGTCCTGATACTAGGACTAAAGGATGGAAACATAGTTGGAAATAGCATTCTACACCTCACTAAGATGAAGAAGTAGACAGTATGATAACCTAATGTTGCTAAATCAGACACTGTTGTATAGTTTTCTTAGGATTACTGAAGCCAAACCAATTGCATAAGAATAGTACTTCCTTTGTTTCTGTTGAACAATGAGATGAATCATCATTCAAGTTGGATAGCAAATATATTCTTCATATTTTAGATAATATATGATCCATGCCTTTTAATCGCCATACAGCACAGCTCCATTTCAATGCTGTATTCTAGGAATACAATAACACATTTTGTCTACAGAGTTTATAATCTATTTTTTTAAATAGCAATATACATGGAACCTTGCTTTCAATGGAGATGTTGATTTGATGGCACACAGAAAATTCCCTTATTCATTTTCAGAATGAAATTGTTGCTGCTGATATATGCATCTTCTATGTAAGCTATATGTATTTTATTTACCTGTATTATTTATTGCATATATTTTAGAGCTTATACGGCCAATTTATTTTCCATATATTTTCTTCTTTTAAGTGAAAATCATACAACTTCATTTCCTTTGCACATTGTACAAAACAGACATTTAACAACAGCATACACCTGATGGTTTGAAAATCAAATAATTACCTATAAAAACCAGAAAAAGACACTGGTCACCAGTTTCACCATACTGCTGCAAGCAATAGATACAGTTCCACGTACAACTATCAAGATAAAACTAGCAAGGAATAGTTTTATGTGTATTTAAAACCACACCCAGTACACATATACAATAGCACTAGCCATAGCACTTAGATTTAGAACAGTGGTTCTCAACCTGTGGGTCGGGACCCCATTTGGGGTTGAACGACCATTTCACGGGGGTCGCCAAACAACGCAGTCCGCCATTTTTCCCCCTTTTCCTTAGCTGTGCTACTCCCTTTTATTCTATTGGCTTTTTGAAAGCCAATAGAATAGACTCTCTTGAATGGAGTCTAATTCTATTGGCTTTCAAAAGCCAATAGGAATTGTCCAGGCTGTCTCTGCCCTGCTGAGCCCGCCAAAAGTCCCATTCTGCAAACGGTGCTGCACCAGTTGAGTAGTCCTCGACTTACGACCGGTTGATTAGTTCTCGACTTACGACTGGTTGGGGGTCGCGGCATGAAAAAGAACCACTGATTTAGAATTACAATATATAAAAGAAGCAGGCTCAAAACTAAAAGGTCCATGAGAAATATGACAGAGCAGAAGCCTGGGGGGGGGGGGAGAGGGAGGGGTACAAGATGAATATCTATACTAAAAGGAAGGTCGGTTAGGTGAGACTATCAATGGGGGCAATATCTCAGCATGGAACTTGCAGTCCCGAAGTGATTCTGCAGAATTTTCTGCAATTTCCTGAAAATCCTCTTCTGCTGCTGCCTAATCAGTCCTGTTTGATTTCACTCCTAAAGGGGCCGCTTTCAACCCCGTTCCTGAAACCACACAAGGGTAAAACGTCCATGGAGGTTCTCAGTCATCCAAGTCACAGTTATCCCAAAGGTGTTTTTTCACGAGGCAACTGGACTTTCTTGGGTTTTTTTCTTTGAAGACGTTTCGCTTCTTGGATGAGAACCCAAACGTCTTCGAAGAAAAAACGAAGAAGTCCAGCTGCCTGGTGAAAAAGCACCTTTGAGGCATGCAAAGGTAAGGGTTGTTCTACGGGTGGTAGGGCGGACAACCGCACGGCCCAGCCGAGGGCGTCCACTTGCCTTCGTGGCGCCGCCACATCTCCTTACCTGAAATTCCAAGGTGCACTTGGTGCCCTGCACGATATCCTCGTAGAAGCACTGCTTGGCATTATCGGGCAATTCGAAGGTAATCTCCGAGGCGCGGACCGCCCAGCTGAGGTGCAGGAACAACAACAACCCGGCCGCCAACGAGCCTCCGCAGGCACCAGAGCCCGGACAGCGGCGCAGCAACATCTCCAAGACCGGGACTCAACCACAAGCACGGAAGGCGAAGCTGAGGTGGAAGAGGAAGCCAAATGAGCGCACAGGCGAGAAGGATAAATCGCCAGCCCCACCCACCCAACCGAGTACCCCGGGAACGAGGGACTCCCTGGGGGGGGGAAAACAAAAATCTTACCTGCCAGGTAGCCGAAGACGCGCCGGCTTCCACTTGCGGCGTGGCCGTACGAGAAGGGGAGGGCGAAAACGGAAGTGAACGGAGTCTATCTAAGAAGAGACCGAAGTACTTCCGGGAGTGATCATTTGTAGACGTGGTGTTCGCTGAGAAGAGTAGGCGGTGTTGTATGTAGAAAGGAATGGGCGGAAAGGAAACAAAGGTGGGCGTGGTCTAAGGTACTATTGGTCCTACGAGGAAAACTGGCCGCTCCTAAGCGGCGGAGGCGGGGGGGAAAAGACAGAAACAGGAGTTGCTAGGCGACAGAGGTTACGATGCAAGCCGGCTTTTCCTGTTCTCCGGTTAGCCGGAAGTATCATCCGTATAGAACCAGGGAATTCTGGGACTGCCTCCCCCGGAAAGTTCGGATGGCGCTAATTCTGTTATCCTTCAGTGCAGCCGCAAACCACCGACTGCTCCCCCCCCCCATGCGATGGACGAGGGTGATAGATGAGTTTTGTGCTAAGATTCAATGTTAGTATTGCCAGCCTCAATTAAGTTTTGATTATATGTTGGTTTTGCCCGTTCATTTTGATATCGTATTTATTTTTATTATTTTATTTTGATATTTTCTGATTTTTACCGTTGTGCCCTGGCCAGAAGGATCAAAGAAACATATCCAGTTGCTATTGTCAGGATTGAGCCTCTGTTCCTCAGGCCCAAAGAGCCTCCAAGCACTGGTGGGACTTAGATGGCTCACTTGGTCTACCCCAAGTAGAGAGGTCGGTTCTTCTCACCCAGCAGTTACATATAGATAGGAGAGTCCAGCCCTGCAGCACCTAATTATACAGATGACCAGCTGCGGGCATGACCTCTCATCCTTCTCAACACTGGTTGAAACTGGCCACATATAAAGAACTACACAAAACAGTGCCTGTCATCCCAGTTCCTTAAGCCAGCCCAATAGAATTTTCTGTTGGCACTGAAAGCTGTTGAGAGGTAGTGATAAAAGAAAAACTTGCTTCCAAGTTGAATTAAATTTTGTGTCATGTTTACTTTTAAATACAAAGTTATGTTGGACATCAAACCACACTGACAGAGCTGAATGAGTCATTTTTCTGGAGAAAGAACGATATTTTCCAATTGGAAGTGTAAAGATATTCTTGCACCTGTTACCATCTACACAACTAATTTGGTATACTTTGTGGGAATATAAGATTTAGTAAAATAGAGTAGAAAACAGGTTGGAAATGAAATTAGATTTTTAAAATGTTTTTCATTCTGTTGCCTATTATTTTCCAAAATTGTCGAGTATTACACTTTTGCCACTAAATATGGAAAAATGTTCCAATCTGGTCATTGCATTTCCAATAATTTTTAAAAAATCAACAGTCCATTTTATCAATCGGTATTTTTGCTTATTCAATTTATGATCATAGACTAAGAAAAATGTACTTTCGAAGTGAAGCATAGTATAAAAAACAGAACAATAAAATAACTAGGGATAGTGTATTTATGTTACTGGATAAAAATGACTTCTGATCTTGAAAGCAATGTAACGGAATTTGGCCAATGCCAAAGATTGAATCTTACTGGTCCTCCAGCAATAGTTGAACATAGAAATAGTTTGAACATTCTGGAAAGTCCAATAAATAGAGTATAATATGCCTATTTCTAATATCTTCATAGAAGAGACAATATAGCTAATTAAGAGTTGAGGATTCCAGTATGTTTAACCCACAGGGTTTAATTGGTCATTATAAAGGATTCTTTTAAATTTTCCTTCTAGGACCAGCAAGGTATCAGAATGATCTGGAATAAAAGATATATGAAGTTAGATATATGTTTCAGACAGCTCTCTGGTTTCACATTAAGAGCAGGGCTGCATAAAAATGGTATTTGGATAAAGAAGCGCAATTGGTTTGACATTCTGTGCCCAATATACATGAACTTTTATTTTGCCTGCCTGATCATACCTTGGAATGTAGAGGAATTCTCAAGATAGCCCTAGTGAATGAAGTTGCTTTTCCATCATCACTATGCCCGGCCGCCAGTCTGGAGGTTCCAAGGCGAAGTCGCGGCACAACCCAGTCCAGTGTCGGACCCCACCGGCTGCGGAGGACTCGCCAGCATTGCTCGCCCTCTCCCCCGCTCTCTCCCCGCAGCCTCGAAGCCAGCTCGCCCGCCAGGTCACAAGAGGCAGAAGGACTGTTGCCGGAGGGGGGCCGCGTCTCTCTCGCAGGTGCTATTTTGTGGGTTCGTGTCGTCTGGCTTCTTTCCTTCTCTCCGGGCCTCCTCGGGACGGGCGGGCCCGGTGCAGCCGGGCGTGGAGGTGTCCGTGGGCGGCGTGCCCGGGGGGGCGTCGCGGGTGGAGCTGTGCGACCTCTTCGAGGCAGCTGTGCCGGGCGTGGTGGTGAAGATGGCCCTCATGAAGCAGTTCGCCTTCATCCACCTGCGCGACGAGGTGGCGGCCGAGCACGCCATCCAGAAGCTCAACGGGCACCTCCTGTACTGCCACCGCGTGGTCGTGGAGTTCTCCCGCCCGAGGCCCACCCACACCGTCAAGACCTTCGTGGGCAACGTCTCGGCCGCCTGCAACAGCGGCGAGCTGTGCATCCTCTTCCAGGAGGTCGGGCCCGTCATCGAGTGCCACATCGTGAAAGGAGTGGGAGAGGCGAGCTTGTGGCCTAGAAATTTACTCTGTACATGCTCAGAGGTGTTGTTACGTTCTCCATTCCCGGCTGCGATCCCAGCAATTGAAACCAACTCAGCTGTAAGGAGCCCCAGTTTGACTAGCCGTCCCGCCGTGGCTGGGTTGACTTTACACAATTGTTGGATGTCCGGAGAAGCCATTGATGAGCTGCACGAGAGGTACTTGGAGAAGTTGACCCAGCTCTTTGAGGAGCACAAGGCCAAGTACGGTCTGCCCCAAGACAAGTACCTAATGATCACCTAGCTGGCCACATTGGACAAGCCTGGGACACAGAGGGGCAATATTATTTTTTAGAGAATATTTGTTGTGGGTGTGTGTATGCATGTAGATGAATGGTGGCCCTGTTATGTATAAATTTTATTATTGTATTTAGGGCGTATGAATGTGAATATTTTTATGTATATAAATTGAGTGTGAATGTGTATTGAGTGTTTGGGGTATGAGAATGGTGGAGTCGGGGGCGGAGCCTGGTACCCCCTCTGCTGAGTGCAATAGCAAAAGTAGGGGGGGGGCAGGACTTACCCTTGGGCTTCGTTTGTATGGAAAGCTAGTCCAATCAGGAAGGGAGAAGGCTGGTGAGGGTGGGAGTACTCTGGGGAGGGGAGAAGGTCAGAGCAACCCGGTTATGACTGGGATAGGCAGATATGGGAGGCGCCAAGGGGCAGGCCATCTTTGGGGAATGAGGACTCGCTATGTTAGAGCGATTCCTTGTTCCGGCCCCTCAAAAGGCTCATCCTGTAGTACTGGTGACGGGAGTACAGGGCCCTAATTGTAGGCTGCTGTTGCTTAATGCCAGGTCCGTTGTCAGCAAAGCCCCCCTTGTCCATGATTTAATATTGGACAGCGGGGCAGACCTGGCATGTATAACCGAAACCTGGCTCGGCCCTGAGGGGGGTGTTTCCCTCTCGGAGATGTGCCCGGACGGGTTTGTGGTGCTTCATCAGCCTTGACATCAGGGCAGGGGTGGGGGAGTGGCAGTCATCGCTCGGAAGTCCTTGAGTCCTCGTGGGATTCCTGCCCCGGAGGTTGTTGGGTGTGAGTCCCTCCTATTGAAGTTGGGTTCATGGGTTCAGTTGGGCTTGCTGCTGACGTACCTACCTCCCAGCTGCATTGCAACAGCCCTGCCTGCATTGCTGGAGTCAGTAGCTGGGTTGGCGGTGGAGTTCCCCAGACTTATAGTACTGGGGGACTTTAACCTACCATCACTCGGCGATTGCTCAGAGGCAGCGCAGGAGTTCATGGCTTCCATGGCAACCATGGACCTGACCCAGGTAATTCAGGATCCGACTCATAGGGGTGGTCACACACTCGACCTTGTGTTTCTCTCGGGGCAATGGAGACATGATCTGGAATTAAGGGGAATAGAGATCTTGCCCTTGTCATGGACAGATCATTTCCTATTGAGGCTGGACTTCAGAGCATCACTCCCCCATTGCCTGCAGGGAGAGGGAGCCGACTAGGTGGTTCCGCCCCAGGCGCCTAATGGACCCAGATCGGTTCCAGGAGGAGCTTGGGGAAATACCTGACTCCCTTGTCCACAACTTGTCCGGGTCCCTGGTTGCGGCCTGGAATGAGGCGGCGTCCGGGGCCCTGGATCGAATTGCGCCTTTGCGACCTCTCTGTGGTGGTGGTCCCCGGAGGGCGCCTTGGTTTACTGAGGAGCTCCGGGAGATGAAGCGCCACAAGAGACGTCTAGAGCGACGTTGGAGGGCCAGTAACTCTGAATCTGACCGATCACTATTAAGAGCCTATCTTAGGACTTATTTAGTGGCGATAAGGGCGGCAAAGCGTGTTCACTTTTCCGCACTTATTGCGTCCGCAGAATCTCGCCCGGCCGCCTTGTTTAGGGTGACCCGCTCCCTTCTTAAAGTGGAGGAGGCGGAGGAACCCTTGCAGGGGAGAGCTGAGGAGTTTGTTCAGTTTCTTTCGGACAAAATCGCTCAGATTCAGAGAGACCTGGACTCCGACTGGGCAGTGCCAGCCGAGTTGCCAGGGGCTGGTCTTAGTCATGTTATCTGGAGCGAGTTTGAGCCTGTGACCCCTGATGAAGTGGACAAGGCCGTGAGGGCAATGAATGCCGCCACCTGTTTATTGGACCCATGCCCCTCCTGGCTGGTTTCTGCCAGTAGGGAGGTGACACGAGGCTGGCTCCAGGCGATAATCAACGCCTCCTTGATGGAGGGGTCTTTCCCGCAACCTTTAAAGGAAGCGGTGGTGAGGCCCCTCCTCAAGAAGCCTTCCCTGGACCCAGCTGTTTTGAAGAACTTTCGTCCTGTCTCCAACCTCCCCTTTGTGGGGAAGGTTGTAGAGAAGGTGGTGGCGTCCCAACTCTTGCGATCCTTGGATGAAACTAATTATCTGGACCCTTTTCAATCTGGTTTCAGGCCCGGCTACAGCACTGAGACTGCTTTGGTCGCACTGACCGATGACCTCTGGCGAGCCCTGGATAGGGGTTATTCCTCTATCCTGGTGCTTCTTGACCTCTCAGCGGCTTTCGATACCATCGACCATGGTATCCTTCTGCGTCGTCTCAGAGAGGTGGGGGTGGGCAGCACCGTATTGCGGTGGTTCTCCTCCTACCTCTCTGACAGATTGCAGTCGGTATTGGTGGGCGGACAGAGATCGACCCCTAGGCGCCTCAATCATGGGGTGCCTCAGGTCTCGGTCCTGTCCCCCCTCCTTTTTAACATCTACATGAAACCGCTGGGTGAGGTCATTCAGCGACACGGGGTGAGGTATCATCAGTATGCGGATGATACCCAATTATATATCTCCACCCCGTGTCCTTTCAGTGAAGCAGTCGACGTGATGTGCCGGTGCCTGGAAGATGTGAGGGTCTGGATGGGGGTGAACAGGCTTAGACTCAACCCTGACAAGACCGAGTGGCTCTGGGTCTTGCCTCCCAAAGGCCAACTGGATGGTCCATCATTAGTCCTGGGGGGGGGGGCAAATTTACCTCCCTCAGTGCAGGCATGCAACTTGGGTGTCCTCCTGGACTCACAGCTAAATTTGGAACAACATCTATCGGCTGTGGCCAGGGGGACCTTTGCACAGGTTCGCCTAGTGCACCAGTTGCGGCCTTATTTGGACCGGGAGGCTTTACTCACAGTCACTCATGCCCTTGTCACCTCAAGACTGGATTACTGTAACGCGCTCTACATGGGGCTACCCTTGAAGGGCGTTCGGAGGCTGCAGTTGGTTCAGAACGCAGCCGCGAGAGCGATTGTGGGCGCGCCAAGGTACGCCCACATGTCACCTATCCTCCGCGGGCTGCACTGGCTTCCTGTGGGTCTCCGGACGCAATTCAAGGTGTTGGTTATCACCTTTAAAGCCCTTCATGGCATAGGGCCAGGTTACTTACAGGACCGCATTCTGCTGCATAGTTCCCAGAGACCGGTGAGGTCCCATAGATTGGGCCTCCTTCAGGTCCCGTCGGCCAGACAATGTCGGCTGGCGGGCCCTCGGGGAAGGGCCTTTTCTGTGGTGGCTCCGACCTGGTGGAATCTACTTCCCCCCGAGGTTCGAACTACCCCCACCCTGCCGGCCTTTAAGAAAGCCGTTAAAACTCTCCTGTTCCAGCAGGCCTGGGGCTGATGTCCCCGGGGGGGCGGGGGCGGGATATGATCGGACTCGCGGTATGACTGTATTATTTTATTATATTATTGTTTTATGATTGTTTTAACTTTGTACGCCGCCCTGAGTCCTTTGGGATTGGGCGGCATATAAATAAAATTAAATATATAAATTAAATAAAATATATCCAGTGTATGATGCATCACCCAATACAGGATACAGGGGAATTAATCCAACTGGACAGAATTATTTTTTTAAACAAGTAGAAGGAAGATTCAATTAATGCTCTTTATTTTTAGTATTCCAGCTTCCCTTTTCAGATCTGCATAAGGAACATTTCAAGAAATATGAAATAAATTAGACTGAACTAATTCTAAAAAGACAAAATTGAAGTGCAATTTTATATGGATTCCATATAATAGCTGGGAGAATACGCTAGCTAAGTAAAATGTTACTGCTTCTGGAATCTAAATTCAGCATTCATTAACTCAGAATACAGAATAATGGAGTGGAAAGGACCTTGGAGATTTTCTAGTTGAATTTGATTGATTAATTGAACCTTTTTTTTTTTGCACATGGCGGCAGAAGGCTAAAGTAAAAAGGTTTTATAAAACCCCACTGAAGGCCTAGGACAGTGTGCATGCCCACAGAGAGGGCTCTGTGTGCCACCTGTGGCACGCATGCCATAGGTTCGCCACCACGGTCCTATACCATTTCAGACAAGTGGCTATTCGGTCTCTTCTTAAAACCTCCAGTGATGGAGCACCCACAACTTCTGAAGGCAAGCCAAGTAGGTTTTAACCAAGTAGGTTAATCCAAGTAGTCATACAGTTTTTTTTAACTTACTTGGTTTTTGAGTCATAGTCTACCAACAATGTATAAATAAATAAAGCATGGTAAATGCTAGACTGAACCTATCACATTGTTCTAAGTTTGTTTTTTCCAAGTAAAATGACATAGATCCTGATATACAGTAGTTAATTTTCCTAGTATCTCAACTGGCAAGGAGAAAATAAAACTCTACCAAGTTAACATGAAACAACAGGATTAGGAGAAGACATTGTTCTGCCACTTTTTTCTTCCAAATTCCATTTAGGATTCCGTTGCAAACCACCAGTTTTAAAACATTTAGCAAGGAAGGTAATCTGGAAATGTAAAGACTGTTAGTACTGAATAGTAGAAATACTAAGTCACAATTACACCATTATTCTCTAGAGGGCGCTCTTGAATAAGAATAGTTTTCCAAAGTATAGTTCATTTTAATGTGGAAAGGTACATTGCATTTACTTAGTTTTGGAGGGAGCAAAATTATTTACAACTTAAAAATACCTATTACAGACTGATCTAAATTCCCCCCTACAGCTGACTTTAATAGGAAATGAAAATATGAAAGGTGCAAAGTATTTTAATAAACTTTCTGATTTGGGGGTGAACTTTTGAAAAAGCAGAATAAAAAGACCATTACTTTATAAATAATTTAATGTACTTAAAAGTATCTATTTCATTTCATTTCAAAGACCTGAAAGAAAAAATGATTTGGAACAAACTGGCTAATTCTTATAGTATTATTAAATTTCTTCTCCATTCCTCTCAAGTTCTTAGAATAGAGTTTTATTTTAAGCCATTAAGAAAATTCCCAGATTCAC